CCGACTACGACTACTACTACGACTACCACTGCTACTGTTATTACTACTACTAATAATAATACTACTACCACTACCACTACTACTCCTATTTCAAATACTGCTATGACTACTTCTACTACCAATACTACTACCACTACGAATACCAGTATTGCGACAACTACTACCAGTGTAACTACCACTACGACTACTACTACTACTGAAAACGACGACTACACCGACCACCACTACCACTACCACTGCGACCACTACTACTACTAGTACGACTACTACTACCACCGCTACTACTTCTAATACTACTACTAATTCTACTACTACTGCTGCTACGACTAGTACTACTACGAGTTCTACTACGACTGCTACTACTACGACTGCTACTACTACTACTACTACTACTACTACTACTACTACTACTACTACTGCTGCTACTGCTACTACTACTACTAATACAACTAATACTCCTTCTGCTACGACTACGACTACGACTACTTCTTCTACTACTTCTACTACTACGACTACTACTGCTACTACTACTACTACTACTACGGAAACAACGAGTACTACGACTACAACGACTACTATTACTTCTACTGCGACTACTACTACTAGTACTACTATTACTACTACTACTACTACTACTACTACTACTTCTACTACTACTACTACTACTACTACTACTACTACGACTACTACTACTACTACTACATCAAATACTACTACTACTACTACTACTACTACTACTACTACTACCACTACTACTACTACTACTACTACTACCACTACTACTACTACTACTATTATCACTACAACTGCGAATGCAACAAATAGCACTACTACTACGCCGACGACTACTGCTACTTCTACTACTACTTCTACTACTACTACAACGACTAGAACTTCTACTGCTACTACTATGACCGCTCTGTTTTACTTTTCTTTTGTTTTACAGTGTATCTGTAATAGCTATGACTTCTTACAACTACACTACAACTGACCTCCTACTACCACCACCCACTACTACCACTACTATTACTAACTCTCTGGACTTATACTTTCTACTTCTACTACGACTCTACAACTACTACTACACACTATAACCACCACTACTACTACTCCTACTACTACTACTACTACTACTACTACTACTACGAATACTACTTCTTACGACTACCACTGCTATCACTTACTACTACTACTACTACAAGTCCACTAATTTACTACATACTACTACTCTACTACTACTACTGACTACTAACTAGCTATTACTACTACTGCTAACTCTACTACTACTACTACTACTACTACTACTACTACTAACCACTAACTACTACTACTACTACTACTACAAGCTACTACTACTACTACTACGACTACTACGACTACTACTACGACTACTACTCCTACTATTACTACTACTACTACTACTACTACTACTACTACTACTACTACGACGACTACATCCACTACTACTGCTACTACTGCTACTACCACGACTGCTACTACTACTAGCACTACTACTACCAATACATACGAAACTACGACTACACATACTACTACTATTACTACCACTACTACTTCTACTTCTACTTCTATTACTACTACTACTACTACTACTACTACTACTACTACTACTACTACTACCACTACTACTACTACTACTACTACTACTACTACTACTACTTACTACTACTACTACTACGGCACCCACTACTACTACTATGACTTAATGCTAACTATACCCTACTATTACTTACCACTACTACTACTAACTACGACTGCTACTACTACTACTAACTACTACTACTACTACTACTACTACTAGTTTTGTTTTTTTTTTGCTACACCACACGACTACTACTCTACTACTACTAACTCCGGCGGCGGCTACTACTGACACTACAACACTACTACTACTACTACTACTACACTACTCTACTAACTACTACTACCAATACGCCTACTACTACTAATAAATAATACGAATACTAACTACTAACTACTACTACTACTACTACTACTACTACTAGTACTACTACTACTACTAACTACTACTAAACTACTACTTACTACTACCATACTAAAAAAAAAAAAAAAAAACACTACTACCACTACTACTACACTACTTCTAGCACTACGATTACTACTACTACTACTACTACTACTACTACTACTACTACTACTACTACTACTACTACTACTACTGCCATTACGACTACTATCACGACTACGACTACGACTGCTACTATTACTACTACTCCTCCTATGACTACCACCATTACTCCTACTACTATTACTACTACGACTACTATTACAACTACTACTCCGACTCCGGCTGCTACTACCACTACTACTACTACGACTACTACTACGACTACTACCACGACTACGACTAGTACTACTACTACTACTACTACTACTACTACTACTACTACTAATACTACTACTACTACTACTACTACTACTACTACTACTACTACTACTACTACTACTACTACTACTACTTCAACTACTACTCTGATGGACTACTTACTTAACTCGTAGACTACATATTAACAGTGGACGAACTCCTACTACGACTACGACCCCTACTACCACTACTACCACTACTACCACTACTACGACTACGACGACTACTACGACTACTACGACTACTACTACTACGACTACTACTGCTACTATACTAAACCGACCTACGACTACCAAAAAAAATACTACCACAACTACTGCTACGTCTACTTCTACTTCTACTACTAGTACTACTACTACTACTACTACTACTACTACTACTACTACTACTACTACTACTAGTACTTCTACTACTACTACTACTACTACTACTACTACTACTACTACTACTACTACGACTACTACTCACTACTACTACTACTACTACTACTACTACTACTACTACTACTACTACTACTACTAGTACTACTACCACTACCACTACCACTACCACCACCACTACCACTACTACTACTACTACTACTACTACTACTACTACTACTACTACTACTGAGGCAATCGGGGGTTCATGTTCCGCTCTTGGAGACCTGAGGATTCCAAAAGAATCCTGGGGAATCCTGGGAGACCCGCCAATGACCCCACAGGGATCCGCAAAGGATCTGCCACATGATCCCTACGGTTTTCTTGGGGATCCGCTGAGGATCCGCCCAATAATCCCTCAGGTTTCCCTCGGGACTCGCTAAGGACGCCTAAGGATCCCAAGGGCTTCCCTGGGGATTCGCTGAGGATCCCAAGAGATCCTTGCTTTTCCAAGGGTTTCCCTCGGGATCCCCAACGTCCCCCTAAGGAGCCCAAGGTCTCCCCAGGGGATCCGCACAAAGTCCCCAAGGATCATTCCGGTTTCCCAAAGGAGCCGCTAAGGAACCCCAAGGATCCCTAGGGATCCGGAGGCGCTCCACTTCCCCTTGAGATTCCATCAAAAATTCGATGTGGGAACTCGGTTTTTCTTTGAGATCCAGAAGCGCTCCAATTCCCATAGGGATTCGTATAAAGAATATAGAATCCAGAGGAACTCCGCTGTCCGTAGGGATTATTATTCAAATGTTATGTAAATATTCGTTTTGTGTACAATCCAGAGGCGCCCCGCTCTCCTTAGGGCCTACATATAAATTCTATACACAAGCTGGTTTTCTGTTGAATCCAAAGTCGTCCCCCTTTCCATCGGAATTATTGTGGCATTTCTTTACGGAAAATTGCCTCTCTGTGGAATCCAGAGGCGCGCTCCACGTTCCATAAGGACTCCTATGAAACCTCTACCTGGAAAACTGCTCTTCTATGCGATGCGGAGACGGTCCACCTTCCATAGGAAGCTCCTTTCAATGTTGTACTCCTTAATTTCATATGTGTTTGTTGTTGTGTTTCCCGCGCGCGTTTCTGAGACCAAGCCCGAACCCGATCCTGACACCTTTTACACCCTCTTGAGGCGGAACAAGAAGCCTGGACAACCCTACTACTACTACGACTACTACTACTACCACTACGACTACGACTACGACTAGCATTACGACTACTACTACGAATACTACTACTACTACTACTACTACTACTACTACTACTACTACTACTACTACTACTACTACTACTACTACTACTACTGCTACTGCTACTACACCTACTGCTACTACTACTACGGTTACCGCTACGACTACGACTACGACTACGACTACGACTACTACTACGACAGGGAAGGGGTTCCCTTTTCGACTACTCCACTACAACTACTATACTACTAAGCTACTGCTACTACTACTACTGACTACTAACTACTACTACTACTACTACTACTACTACTACTACTACTACTACGACTACTACTACTACTACTGCTACGACTACTACTACTACTACTACTACTACTACTACTAATAATAATAATATTACTACTACTACTACTACTACTACTACTACTACTACTACTGCTGCTGTTGCTGCTGCTGCTGTTGCTACTACGACTACTACTACGACTACTACTACGACTACGACTACTACTACTACTACTACTACTACTACTACTACTACTACTATTACTATTACTACTACTGCTGCTGCTGCTGCTACACTCTAGAATCCCCGGGGCTACTAATAATAATACTACACGATTTAAAAAAAAAAAAAGCCTACGAATAATCTACTACTACTACTACTACTACTACTAACTACTACTACGACGACGAACACTACGACTACTATTAACGTACTACTACTACGACTACTTACAAACTAACTACTACTACTACTACTACCTACTACTACTATCTACTACTAATACTACTACTACTAATACTACTACACTACTAGCTAATACTAATACTAATACTACTACTACTACTACTACTACTACTACTACTACTACTACTACTACTACTACTACTACTACTACTACTACTACGACTCGACTAGGACTCCTGATTCTGCACGACTTCTGGTTATGGCGGGCCTGATTCTGACGACGACTGATACTGTGATTGATACGACTGCTGCCGCTTCTGCCACTCGACAAACATCGGTCCAACGGCCCGCCATGGCCATCCTCTGCCTCCCCTCACTATGTTGGCGGGCTCATTTCTCCCCCAGGGCGTCAAAGCGCCTGGCAGCACGAACGCTGCGGAAAGCCGCGTCCGACGCCCGCAGCCCGAGGGCCCCATCACTAAGCGCCCTTCCCGCCGCCCTTGCCAAAGGTGGGGCGCACGTAGATGCGGCCTTCAGGGCTGGCGCGGAGCACCTTGTTGCGGACCCTGGGGGCAGCGCAGGGAGAAGGGGCGGAGAAGAGGCATACGCAGAGCACACTGACAGCAGCAACGCATATGGTTTATCCAGGTGCTCGAAAGTCATCTGCGAGTCTTCTCGACCCTAAAAATAAGACGCAGTGCCCTCGGCCACGACATGAAGAAGCCTGATGCCGAAATTCTGGTACATGAGAGGTTGGAGAGTTCTGGGGAGGTGGCGAACTGGGACTTGCGAGACTTGTTGGGCCCTTCTCACGGTTCGTCGAAAATGGTCGCTGGACTGGTGCTTGAAATCGGGAACGCATTTGGGAACAAAGGCCTCCAATACCATGCATCCAACGAGCAATACGAATCAGAGCGGCAATGCCCGCCGTCGTCCTGGCCACCGCCAAGAAATACTATTACCAAGCATACCGCGACAGCCCCACAAGAGACTACCTGAGCAGGTCAGGACGGCTTACCCTCCTCCCCCTCCTCCCCCATCCTCCTCTTCCAGCTCATCCTCCCCCTCCGCCTCCACCTCCGCCTGCGCCTCGGGTTCCGCCTCCGCCTCCTTCTCCTTCTCCTCCGCCTCCTCCTCCTCCTATTCATTTTCCTCCTCCTCCGCCTCCACCTCCGCCTCCGACTCCGCCTCCGCCTCCTCCTCCGCCTCCTCCGCCTCATCAGCCTTCTCCGCCTCCTCCGCCTCCTCTGCCTCCGCATCGGCGTCATCGGATCTCGACTCCGCCTGCGCCTCCTCATCCTCCTCCTCCTCATCATCATCATCCTCCTCCTCCTTCTCCTCGTCTTCCTCCTTTTTCTCCCAATTGGTCTCCCTGTGTTGCTCCTCCTCTCTGTCTCTTCCTCCGCCTCCTCCTCCTCCTGCTCCGCCTCCTCCGCCTCCTCCTCCTCGCTCTAGTCGTTCT